AAAATAAAGCCATACTACCAGATAAAGCTCCTCATTAACAAACTGTACTTAGATGGCTCATAAAAAGGAAATAAATTAGGTTAAATTTACACCGAACACAATTAAATAAAATGTCATAATAAAGTTACTTTCACTTAATTTAGAGAGTTAATCAGGTTTCAACTTAAATGGATTCAACTTAAAAATTTAAGTGAGTAACATATTTTTTTACAGCGTTGAAAAAAATTTTACCTGCTGCCTTAAAATGTGCACTGTAAAAAAAAAAATCGTAAAAAAAAGGTCAAATGACTGGCAGCTACGGCTGCCAAACAAAAACCATAAAATTACGGTAAAATTTCTTTGTTTAAATAAAGTGCAAAAAATAATAAATCCACAGATATTTTCATTAAAATATTTACAGAAAAACACTGTTATTTTACAGACTTTTTCTAAATTATTATGATCAAATCCATTTAATAAAGTAACACAATAAGAGTTTTACAGAGAAACACTGTTATTTTAAAGACTTTTCCTAGATTATTATGATCGAACACCATCAATAAAGTGACTGCACTAAAAGTTCAAGAGAAAACAATGTTATTTAATTTATTTTTACAATTAAACGCCTTTAATAAAATGCCAAGACATGCTCTTGGTCGTAATTTAACAGTTGTATTTTGGATCAAAAAAGTTTGGAAAAAACATCAAACAAGATACAACTTATTAAAATTCTCACAACCATATCTTACATTTTATTGAATAGTATTTACTTTAAAACATGTAGAGGTTTAAGTTGTATGAAATAATTCAGTTCCAAATCTTAAATTAAATGGAGCTGTAACATGAAGGGGATCCTGACAAAGCAGTGCAGATTCAAATGCAGGTTTATTACACAGAGATGGTCAGGTAAGCAAAAGTCAACACAGGGGCAACCTGGAAACAGATGTATGCAGGGAATCCAGAGTCATGTTCAATTAACAAGCAAATGATCAGTCCTGGCAGCAAACAACGTAAACAATTAACAAACAAAGCAAGGCCAAAGAAGAGAAACGCATTCTAATGTTCACAGTAGCAGTATAACAAGACTAAGCAATTGGTGCGTGCGCCTGTGCTGCTTTTAAAGTGCATGTAATCAGTTCATAACGATCCTCTGACTGTGTGTGTGCAATCAGCAGAATCTGAAACAGGTGTATGTGAGCCCTCTTAGTGTGTTACTTTATTAAATGGATTTGATCGTAATAATCTAGGAAAAGTCTGTAAAATAACAGCGTTTTTCTGAAAACATTTTAATGAAAATATCTGTAGATTTAATATTTTTTGCACTTTATTTCAACAAAGAAATTTTACCTTAATTTTATGTTTTTTTTGTTGTCATTTGACCTTTTTTTTTAAGATTTTTTTTTTACAGAGCAAGTAATTACAATTTATTACTTTAATTTTACGTAATTTTAAATGTACTTAAAAAAAACTGGAAAAATCACTGTAAATAATATGTCAATTTTATTGTATAAAACAGACAAATTGCTGTAATTTGTCATTAATTATATAGTACATAAAATAACAGTCAAGCTGTTAATTTACAGATAATGTTTGTAATTTTTACGAACTTTTGAATTTAATTTAAAATAACAGAAAAAATACTGTATAAATAATACTGTAACTTCTCTGTATAAAAAACAAAATTGTCGGTAATTTGTCTTTGTCTTTTCTGTAAAATTAGTTTTTTTTTTTTACAGTGTGGACAAACTCCAGAAACCATGAGTAAACTTAAACTAAAGCATGTTTTTGAAAATGTATAAATGTAAATTTGAAGTCTAAAACTTGTTGCGAGCTAATAGTATCCTTAATACTGTTTTACTACAACAGCCTAAAAACATCAGTAATGTACAATAAAATAATACTATATAGCATAAAACAATATATTCCCTAAAATGAGCATTTTATAAATAATGTTAGTTTACTTTATATCAAAGACTCTTACCTTTGTGTTCTAATAAAGCTGCCATTAGAAAATACAGGAGATGGAAATGTGAAAGCTGAAAATGCGCCATCATATACAGTAAAGACGCTCACTGCAGGACAGATGAATGCTTTATGAGCACACGCCACAACATTTGATTTCCTCAGAGCTGTTGTTTTCAGTAATTTTCCAACGGACGTCAGAAAAATTGGCTAATCTTGTGTTCATGTACTGAAGATGAAGTCTCACTGCTATATTTGATAGCCCTCAGTGAAATGTATTAATAAATATAGAAGATGAAAAATATGAATACTGAAAGTCCCCACCTCAGAGTTTCGAGCAGAGCAGGCCACAAAGCCTTTTATGTAACATGTTGTTTTTGAAGAACTGAAATAGGTAATGTGATCTGTGCAAAATGTCAGAGACGTGCAATTTAACACATTGTTCAAATTACTAAATCAACCAGCAACATGATTTCGATAAAAAAAGTGTAAAGTAATATATTAAAGACAGTTTTGTTATATCTTTTTCTAACAAATTGCTTTAAGGTTCATATTGGTGTTCGAACAAATATTGCACTTTTTTCTGTATCAATTTTTTTAAATAGACATTTTCATTCTCATTTTAACTAATGAATAAAATTAAAGAAGAAGTAGTTCACTTCCAGAATGAAAATCTGCCATAATTTATTCACCCTTCGATTAAAAATCTGTATGAGGTTTTTTTTCTTCTGTTGAACGTAAAGGATGACATTGTGAAAAATCTTGTTATCCAAACAGTTGAAGGTTACCATTGACTTCTAATAAAAAAAAATACTAGACAGCCAATGGTTGTTATCATCATGTACAATGGTGAATATCAATTGTGGAAGTGAAGGACTTGGATGACAAGAGTAAATTATCAAGTTTTTTTATTCTGAGTGAATTATTCTGGTAAGCTTTTGGATGTTTCGTTTAAATAGTTCATTTATACAGGTAAAAAGCCTGTGAGAAATCAATAAATTATATGGTGAGGTCCACTTACCTAGTTGTGTGCACACTTTTGTTTAGTATTTACACTTACAGTATTTTGTGTGCACCACAGATATGCTTAGTATGTACAGAAGTAAGAGTGATCCCTGTACACTTTTAAAAAATGCTGGGTTCCACAAAATCCATGTGTGTTAATACAAAATGAAGGAATTCAGTTAACTTATAAGTTTTTACAGATTTAAGTGGACTGAACGTAAAATAATTAAATTGTCTCAAAAACAAGAATTGTGTTGTTTCAGCTTATTTTAAATAAGTAGTTTGAACAAACAGCAAATGCATTTTTTTCAGTGTAAGCATTTAATTACATAATGTTTTAAATGCACTTCTATTAAATGAAATCAACTCTGATATATAAATAAAGCTTGTGTTATATAATCTGAAATAATATCAACACCAAAACTTGAGCAAGATGAATCTGAAATGTGCGTTTACTTTAACATCAGTCAACAAGCTTTGACTGAGATATGCAGTAAATGTGATGCTTGTGTTGTAAACTTATAGCAAACATTACATTGTGCTAGAAACTTAGCAATATAGGATAGAGATATATTTCATTGATAAAATATATAGCAGAAATCATTCATAAATATACATTATATATCATTAATAAAATCTATTATGTTCAAAATTTGAACTAAGTAAGACAAAAGTTAAGGGTTTTTAAATGCACAACACGAAGCACATTTAAAATACTTGAACATATGGCAAACTGTTGAATATTCCCTCACTCCCTGGTCATTTTCTATGGTCTAGGCAAGTAGAACTAATTTGTTTAACAATTTTTTTGTCAGTTATGACATGTTAGATTTTCTAGTCCCCGTATTGAATCCGCAGTCACCGGCAGACAGAGAGAATGTACACACATGAGAGAGAGAGGTTGTGCAAGTACATTAAAATGGCTCATATTGTCCTCATTCTGCAATGTGGAAGTAAGCTATTTTCTGGGATTGTTTTAGAACTTCTGATTCATTTGTCGATGGGGAAATGACTTGGACTAACAATGGTCAAACTATGTGCTCTACAGACAGTTGTGTGTACAAATATAAAATAATACTGTATAATAAGAAAATACAAGTTTGTACATCATAACGAGTTGTTGATTTTTCAGCTAGAAAATCAATTTAAATAAATAACACCCTAAGACTAAAAGACTCCAATGAATAGAGCTGCAGGTTTATTGTAAAAATCACGATGTATAACATGTACAAAATGTGTAAATTTACATTATTGGTCAAAAGTTTGGGGTCAGTACGATTTTTAAATGCTTTAAAATAAACGTATGCTCACCAAGGCTGCATTTATTCAATCAAAAATACAATACAAATTGTAAAATTGTGAAATATTATTGCACTATTAAATAACTGTTCAAAAGTAGTTTATCATTTATTAAAAATTGTATTTAATTTAATTGAATTTGATTTTAAATATGAGTTTTTAGCTTCATTACTCCAGCCTTCAGAGTCACATGATCCTTCAGAAATCACTCTAACATTAATAATTATTAATAATGGTAACAGTAATAAAAGCAAAAATGACTGGGCTAATAACTTTTTATTTGAAACTACATGTTTAGCAAAAATTGTATATGTACTTGCAGTATTCAAAATTACTTGATCAATTGGGTCAAATATAAGATATACAGTATACAAGAAGCCAAGCTAAATGCAAAGACCACAAGTGTGAATACTGGGACAGGTCCAGTCTCTAAAATTACAAGAATTGCTTATCTCAAATAAACTTTAAGCAAAACATGTTTATGAACTTATTAGAAAAAAAATTACAAGCATTAAATACAGTGATTTCAATTATTTTACTGCATTCTATTGTCATGGATGTTAGCTTGCTTGCTTATTTTAATATTGTTCAGGTTCATGAATATTTGTTGAGTATATGCTGTTCAGTTAGGCTTATCACATAGCGGGATATCCAACCCTGCAAGAAAAGGATTCTTTGTCAGTGTATTTAATAAATACACTTGATCAAGTACAAAAGTTACACATTCTTTAAGGACCTATAATGAATATTACTTACCTCCTGACATTTCTGAATAACAGACAAATGACTTGCAGTTCAGTTCAACTACAAAATACAAAAAAAGCATTTGGCATCTGATCAATTCATAAAACTGCATAAATATGAAAAAAAAAAAGTATTTCATGCTTCCAACGTTCCAACACTTAACATCAGGATGCAATGATATGCCTTTAATTTCATATCTCAATCAAACAAGACAAAAATAATAACTACAAACAAATGTATTTATGTTTAAATATGTTATGTTAAATTCCTGACAGCTTGTATACTGATATAACAGCACATCTTATACATGTACATGGACAACAGTAAAATGCAACTACAAAATATGGTACAGCTGGTCAGAGTTTTGGTTTGAATAACCTTTTTCCAGAGTTATTTATTTATGTTTTTAAGACTAAAGCAATCTTCCCCTACAATATACCGCTAAACAACAGTGTTAAGATTTTCAGTTGTGGACTTACTCTGGCTGTTGATTTTGTTGCTTCGGGTTTTGAAATAAAGAATCACACATGTTATTGTGGCCATCACCACTACTGTCAGATTAGTTATCATTGACACAAGTGCAGCACTGTTGCCTTTCAGTAGACCAACAGGACTCTCAGAAGGGGTTGAAGGATCTGCAATAATAAGAAAAACTTAAATAAACATTATCTAAATCTGAATGATTAAGAGTTGGTTTCACAGACAGGGCTTAGACTAGCCAGTATTAGGCCATGGTTCAATTAGGACATTTAGGTAATTTTTTATAAACATACTTAAAAAAAAATTAAAACATTACTGGTGTGTATCTTGAAACAAAACAAAGGCACTAATGAATTTAAAAATCAATCAGTGCAATTTTATTTTAGTTGAAACAGCTCAAACTTACATTTTAGTCTAGGACTAGGCTTAAGCCTTGTCTGTGGAACCGGGGGTATATTTTTATTTTATTTTACAATTACCTAATTGTGCTGTGGAAAATGTTGTCAAGGAATGCAATGTCGTCTCTATAATACAATTACAAACAATGGTTACAGTTTGAAAAGCATCTGAAATTTCAGCAAATATTTAGACACATTTTATCCCAAAATGACCTGGGGCCTCATGTATCAACGCTGCGTACGCACAAAAACTTTGCGTACGCCAGGTTTCACGCTCAGAATCGCTCACGTTTGGATTTACTAACAATGAACTGAACGTGGGAATGTGCGCAGGTTCACGGCAGCTTTCTGGCAGGCGTACGCACATTTTTTGTGCGTGTCTGTTTTATTTCCATTGGCGACTCCTAGAGGCAGTTGTGTTAAATTCTTCTCTACAAAGTGTCTGATCCTTGCAATGGCAGCTGTATGAGACGGGTTCATATAGTAGGTATGTAAGATTTCCATACCATACAGTTGACCAGCTAAACATTAAAGCACAATTTGCAGCAGTCGCAATGTAATCTGAGCAATCTACCGCACGCTCATTGCTATAAAGACACTATCTGAAGATGAATTTGCATGCGTGAATCAGAAACATTTCCATTCAATAAATGTGCAAATAAAATATGATGCACAAACTTATTGATGATTCCTACTTGTCTTTCTCTTAATAAATAGTGGGCAAAATCTGATATGTAGCGGGGAAAAAGAATAAAGAATTTATCAGACGCTGGATTCGAGCCGAGTTGACGCTCGAATATGTCTGTACATGATCTCATGCTTCTTATGAGGTGCGCCACTGAGACCGCTTAGGGTACTGCAACATTTTTCAGTTATAAACCACACTATTTCTTTTTTAAATGCACTCAGTGCGATGTTCAGACCCAACTGTGTTAACCGTATCAGCTAAACTCCCACTCTATTTTTTTCTTTTGTTGTTAATTCCGGAGAACAAATTTGCAAATGACACCGCTTTTCTCCGGTCTACCTCCGAAAGCAGCACCTCCAATTCACATTCTGTTCAAAGTTTCTCTTTTTGCTAGATTTTGCCGTTGCTTTTTCGTTGGGTTTTTCCATTAGCATAGTCATTAGCATATTCATACGGGGGAGGAGGCAGGGAGGGGTTTTGTGCTCGTGCACGCAACACTGTGTACGCCGAATCTCACGCATATTCTTTTGTACATCTGAATGAACGTGAAACTGAGCGCAACATGCACGAGCACAAAACCCCTCCTGCCTCCTCCCCCATATGAATATGCTAATGACTATGCTAATGGAAAAACCCAACGAAAAAGCAATGTCAAAAGCAAGCAAAAAGAGAAACTTTGAACAGAATGTGAATTGGAGGTGCTGCTTTCGGAGGTAGACCGGAGAAATTAAAGCGGTGTTATTTGCAAGTTTGTTCTCCGGAATTAACAACAAAAGAAAAAAATAGAGTGGGAGAGTTTAGCTGATACGGTTAACACAGTTGGGTCTGAACATCGCACTGAGTGAATTTAAAAAAGAAATAGTGTGATTTATAACTGAAAACTGTTGCAGTACCCTTAGCAGTCTCAGTGGCGCACCTCAGAAGAAGCATGTGATCATGTACTGACATGTTCGAGCATAAACTCGGCTCGAATCCAGCGTCTAATGAATTCTTTCTTTTTTTTCCCCGCTACATATCAGATTTTGCCCACTATTTATCAAGAGAAAGACAAGTAGGAATCATCAATAAGTTTGTGCATCATATTTTATTTGCACATTTATTGAATGGAAATGTTTCTGATTCACGCATACAAATTCATCTTCAGATAGTGTCTCTATAGCAATGTGTGTGCGGTAGATCGCTCAGATTACATTGGGAAACAGGCGACCGCTGCAAATTGTGCTTTAATGTTTAGCTGGTCAACTGTATGGTATGGAAATCTTACATACCTACTATATGAACCCGTCTCATACAGCTGCCATTGCAAGGATCAGACACTTTGTAGAGAAGAATTTAACACAACTGCCTCTAGGAGTCGCCAATGGAAATAAAACAGACACGCACAAAAAATGTGCGTACGCCTGCCAGAAAGCTGCCGTGAACCTGCGCACATTCCCACGTTCAGTTCATTGTTAGTAAATCCAAACGTGAGCGATTCTGAGCGTGAAACCTGGCGTACGCAAAGTTTTTGTGCGTACGCAGCGTTGATACATGAGGCCCCTGGTGCTGTGGGAAATGTTGTTACTGTTGTCAATGAATGAAACGTCTCATCTAGAATAAAATCACAGACAATTGTTACAGTTTGAAAAGCATCTAAAATTTCAGCAGATATTTAGAAAGCAAAACAGATGTTAACCTACGTTTTTTAAGCTAGTATGAAAACATTACCCTTCAACAAGACTGTTTAAATATTCACAGACATGTTAACATTATCATATTAGTTAAAAAAAAAAAAAAACTTACAGTAACTACACATTTTATTGGTGGCTCAGTGGTTAACACTGTCACCTTACAGCAAGCTTGATTGCTTGTTCAACAGGAGTTGCTGGTTCAACAGGAGGCATTTTTTGTGGAGTTTGCATGTTCTCTCTACAGACGTGGTATCGGAGGATTGGGTCAACTAAATTGGCCGTAGTGAATTAGTGTTTGTGTGAATGAGAGAGTGTGTTGGTGTTTCCCAGTACTGGGATGTGGCTGGAAAGAAAACCGCTGCAAATACACCAGAGTAATTGGTGCTGCTGGTTTATTTCGCTGTCACGACCCCTGATAAAGCAGGGACTAATCTGAAAGATACTGAGTGAATGAACAATATGCATTATTCTAAAAAAAATGCTAAATCATCTTATGAGTTTCAAGTCGCAATGGGTTTACTCACATTTATTCAAAGTTAACTTGTGACCTTTAAAGTAATAGTTTACCCAAAATAAAAAAATTCTACCGTCATTTACACACCATTGTTCTGCCTGTAGTATTTGTTTTTCTTACTAGCAATGTCAATAGTTAAAGGTTTCCAACATTCGTCAATATTTCTCCTTCAGTGTTCAACAAAACAAGGGTGAGTAAATTATGGCAATTTTCATTTTGGGTGGAAATAGGTTTACAAAAATATTACACTGAAACACACCTTTGATCAGCAGCTTCACTTTACAGCAGGTTTTCTCATTCACTCTGCACTGGTACCACTGTTCATCAGCTTTTACTGCATCTCTTATAAGCAGAGATCCATTTTCTAGTCGTTTCGCTCTCTCATACAGAGGCTTTGAGAGTTTCTCTGTGCTGCTTGAGGTCTTGGATAGAGAGTAATATTGTGTTATATCTGTTGACTCGTGACCTTCAATGACTTTCCAAGTGACTTGATCAGCTGTGTTTTGTTGAGGATGTTCAGAGCATGGCAGCAGCACAGCAGAGCCTGATACTGCAGAGACAGGATCTAACGTTTTACACTCTGAAAACAGAGAAACTAAATGAAATAATTGGGATCATTTGATTGTTTCAGAAATATTATTCTCACCTTTGACTGTCAGGATAAATCGAGTTGCGTTAAGGCAGTCCTGATCTTTGTAAACCTGACACTCATAAAGGCCTTCATCTGATAATCTGACGTCTTTCAGACCAAGTGTAACATTTCCAGCATGTTTCCTCACAGACCATCTCTGGTGCTCTGATGCTGGAGAGATGTCAGGATAGATCAGGATGTCTTTAACCGGGTTATTCTTGCGTAGTTTCACCATTAGAGACTCCAGCGGGTGTGTTGTGGTTAAACAAGAAACATACATGTTGCTATGCTGAACACAGCTTATGTTCAACTCATGAAGCTTTTCACAGGGTCTCCTCATCGCCACTAAAAAAATAAATAAATAATAACACAAAACATGATATACTTAGAGAATTATATAAAAAATGACTTGTTTTTAATAACTGGTTTCTTTTGGAAACCAAAAACTGGAATGAGGCTTAAATTTGATTTGAATGTGTAATAGGACAGTAGTTTGACAGGGAGCAAAGTTTTATAGAAATTAAGAGAGAGAAAAAGAGAGAGACGGGATAGAATGGAATCAAATTGGGAAAGGTCTGCGAGACATAAACTCAGGATGCCCAAAGCACAGTTGTGCCACATGTCACCATACTACCCACCAGGCTATTATACTGACAAATTAAGATATTTTAAAATGAAAATCAAGAGCTCTCTGACTCATAGATGTCAAGAGTCACAGGACTTTATTCAACAGTTTCCTCTGTTTGGTCTTTACTCCAGATTCATGTACACAACTTTCTCTGCACAGCATATCACTCATGAATGCACAGACTGAGCTGATAATGAAACGAAGAAATTGTTGAATAAAGTCATTTTTATGTTCAAAAAATTATACTAGTAGCTTCGTAACATTACGAATTAACCTCTGAGAACACATGGACTGTTTAAAGGCATTTTGGTACCTTTCTGAACTGCAACTCTTTCTGTAAATTCAAGGGGCCTCAGAGCTCTTGGATTTCATCTAAAATATCTTTATGTGTTATAAAGATCTCAGAGGTTTTGTGGGGATGAGTTTTCATTTTTGGGTGAACTGTTTGTGTCAAGGAATAATAGTGTTGTTAGAAATGTTGTCGTTGAATGATTTTATTTCAGACATCATTAAATAGAGTAAGTGAAAAAAATGTCCTAAAATTGTACATAATAAAAAAAATTCAACTGTTCTGTAAAAACAGTATCACTTTTGTTTTTATGCAGTTGGTTTAATATTATTAGTGTTGCTTAATTAGATTGAACAAAATGTGAAATTATTTTAAAACGCACCTTTGATTACCAGCTTCACTTCATAGCAGGTTTTTTCATTCACTCTGCATCGATACCACAGATCATCAGCCTTTACTGAATCTCTAATAAACAGAGAACCATTCTCTAGTTGTCTCGCTCTCTCAAACAGAGGGTTTGAGAGTTTTTCTGTGCTGTTTGAGGTTGTGGATGATGAGCGATATTTTGTTATATCTGTTGACCCGTGACCTTCAATGACTTTCCAAGTGACTTTATCAGTTGTGTTTCGTTGAGGATGTTCAGAGCATGGCAGCAGCACTGCAGAGCCTGATACTGCAGTGACAGACTTCATTTTTGTACAGTCTAAAACCAAAGAAACACAGTACATGTTTATGACTCTATAATAGGGATTATTTGCTTGTTTGAAGAATGTGTATTCTCACCTTTGACTGTCAGGGTAAATCGAGTTGCGTTAAGGCAGTCTTGATCTTTGTAGACCTCACAGTCATAAAGGCCTTCATCTGTTTGTTGGATGTCTTTCAGATTAAGTCTGATATTACCAGCATGTTTACTCACAGACCATTTCTGGTGCTCTGATGCTGGCGAGATCAAGATGTCTTTAACTGGGTTATTCTTGCGTAGTTTCACTGTTAGAGTTTCCAGCAGGTGGGTTGTGGTTAAACAAGAAATGGACATGCTGTCACGCTGAACACGGCTTATGTTCAACTGATGAGGCTGTTCACAGGGTCTTTGAGCTAAAAGTGAAAATAAAACGAGAAATGAAACATCTTTGGAGAACTAGGATGTAGAAAGATAGGAATTACCACATAGTTTACAATAAAGATATCATTTTCTGAAATTATCCTGCTGAATGCAGTAAGTGTATAAAATATTTAATTTCCTAAATTTACTCGGTAGCACTTCACAATACAGTTCCCAAATCAAACAATGACAAATATATCTAAAGCATTTATTAGGCTTAAAGAAAAATGCCTGTTATTATTAATTAATAAATCTGAGCTGACAATGAGCAATTGTGTTTTTATTGTCAAAGAAGAATAATACTGTAACAACTGTTTTGCTCTTTGCTATTTTGCTACACATACAGTAATTGCAAATGGTCGGGATTAAGGTTTATTACAATCTTATGTCAAGTTGTCGCACAACAAACAAACAGTTAAAACAAAGACCATCTGTAGTTACACAATTTCTTCTACAGTAACCTTTTTTAAACTTTCTTTTATATAATTTTAGAACAGAACCAACAAAATCTCACGGCAATTTGTAACTTTTTGATTTAGTGGCTAATTTGTCTGAATTCGTACGATCTAAATCGTACAATTTAGTACGATTTGCTCATGCCTCAATGACGGTTGGGTTTAGGGGTGGGGTTAGGTGCCATGCCTCCTTTTTTTTTAACTCTTTATTTTCATTTTCATTGAAAAAACCTTCATACATTACATACAGTACTGCCTGAGTTTTTACAAAGAAATATACCATCAAAACTCTTTTGGTAGTACTTACAGTGAATTTAACTTACTACAAGAAGGAACGCAAAACCCTACCACCCACCCCACCCATTTAACATTGATCAAAATATTTGTGGAAGGTTCATAAAAATAAAAGGCATATATGCATAACATTTACAATCATATATAGATCTGGCTGGGACAAAAATTTAAAATTGAGGCAAGGCGTACATGGACAATGAAACCAAAAGAGACATTATAAAAAAAATAATAATTATAAAATAAATAATGAAATAAGATAAATAAATAAATTAACATACAACAGTCTTGTAAGTCTATCAGTTCAGTCTATCTGCAAAAATAATATGAATGGTTCCCAAATCTTGTTAAAAATGGACAATTTGTCGTTTAGTATGAATCTCAGTTCTTCTAAGTGTAACATATTTCCAAGTTCTCTAGCCCACATTTCAAAGGTGGGGACAGCATCAGATTTCCACATTTGTAAAATGATTTTTTTTGCAAGACACATACAAAATAGAATTGCTTGTGTTTGGTTTCTACTGCAAGGACTGTACTCTGCTCCTAAAAGTCCAATACTAGGATCCATTTCCAGATTCGTTGAGTACACTTCAGAAAGAAATTTTAATATATTTTTCCAGAATGGTTGTAGTTTACTGCATGACCACAAAGAATGAAACAAAGTTCCTGTTGACACACTGCACTTATTACAACTTGAAGAGATTGTTGGAAATATTTTGTTAAGTTTTGATTTAGAATAATGGAGCCTATGAATGACCTTATATTGGATCAGATGATGTCTTGCGTTCACAGAACATGAATGTACATTTTTCAAGCATTCATCCCATTTGTCATCACAGATGTTAATACCCATTTCGTCTTCCCAGTCATGTCTTATTTTAGCTGAACTGCTGTCCACCTTCCTTAACAGCAACTTGTAAAAGTTAGACACATTACCAATATTTCCAGGGTTTATGTTAACAATTGTATCCAATGTAGGATCTAGACTCTCGATTTCAAAATCTTTAATATGTTTTCTAACAAAATCCCTAACTTGCAGATAACGAAAAAAGTTTGAGGAAGTAAGGTTGTAATTTTGTTTTAGTTGTTCAAATGTTCCCTCTTTGTAAAGATCTTGAATTGTTAAGATGCCCTTATCTTTCCATTTGGAGAAAAAATTGTCATTTAGTCCAGGAGGGAATGCATGATTATTACAAATTGGTGAGTCCAAATACATATCTGGAATTTTTAAGGATGCCTTAATTTGTTTCCATATTTTAATTGAATTGGAAATAATTACATTATTTTTTATATTTTTTGTGTCTATTTTAATTGGGCTGTTAAGCAGGGCTGGTAATGAGGTCATATTACAAGAAGCATCCTCAATAGCTAACCATTCTGGCTTGTCTCTTTGTTCCACCATCAAATCTTTCTCCACCACGACAATAGTTAGATTAGCTGCCCAATAATAATATTTAAAATTAGGAAGACCAAATCCTCCCAGGTCCTTGGGTTTATTTAAATGTTTTTTATTAATTCTAGCAGTCTTATTAGCCCAAATAAATAGGGTTATTATTGATTCTAGCTGTTTAAAATAATGTATGGGAATAAAGAATGGGATAGCTTGAAAAACATACAGAAATCTTGGTAATACAACCATCTTTATAGCATTAATTCTACCTACCATAGACATAGGGAGTGTCTTCCAAAAAGTAATATCGTCATTAAGCTGGTCTATCTTTTTTTTCCAATTTAGTTGTAAAAGTGTTTTAGGCTTTCTGGTGATCATTATTCCCAAATATTTAAAGGAGTTATTGGCTATTTTAAATTTAACTTTTTCTAAAAATTGTCATCAGAAATGGGCATTAATTCACTTTTTTCCCAGTTTATTGTAAAACCAGAAAAACTACCAAATTTATCGATAAGATCAAATAATGGTGGTATAGATTTTTCGGGGTCGGAGATGTATAAAAGTATATCATCAGCATACAATGACAGATGTTGATGTCTGCCTTCAGTCATTATTGGTGTTATACTGAGATGTTGCCTAATACTAGCTGCCAGCGGTTCCATTGATATTGCAAATAAGAAAGGAGACAGGGGACATCCCTGTCGTGTACCACAGCTTAGTTGAAACGTATTTGAGATGTTTTGATTAGTAATAACAGAGGCTACTGGATTTGCATATATTGTTTTAATCCATTTAATAAATTCTGGACCAAAACCAAACTTTGCTAGAGTCGTAAACATATATTTCCATTCCAACTGATCAAAAGCTCGTAGAGCGTCAAGTGAAATTACACATGCTTTAGTATTGTTTTTACTATAAATTATATTGAATAGCCGTCTCAAATTAAAATATATATGTCTTCCTGGTATAAAACCAGTCTGGTCTTGATGTACAATTGAACCTATATATTTTTTCAATCTGTTTGCTAGAATTTTGCTTATAATTTTTGATTCATTTGGAATGAGAGAAATCGGTCGATATGAAGACATTTTTAGCTTATCCCGTACAGGTTTTGGAATTAAGACAATATTTGCTTGATACATTGTAGGTGGGAATTTGCCCTGTTCCTTTGAATTTTTAATCAGGCGATGCATCAATGGTGCAAGATGATTTTTAAATTTTTTATAAAATTCGGCACTAAAGCCATCTGGACCAGCAGATTTATTATTAGGTAGCTGAGATATTACTTCGTTCACTTCCTCTAGTGTAATCTCTTCGTCCAAACTCTGTTTTGCTTCAGAATTAAGAGTTGGTAGGTCTATATTTGACAAAAATTCATCTAACGCTTCTTGATTTGTCCTTTTTTGATTTATATACTTTTTTATAAAAGTCAAAAAAACAATTATTAATTCCTTTAGGATCAACTAGAGCCTCTCCATTTTCTTATTTTATTTTATATATTGCCTGTGCTGCTTGAGAATGTTTCAACTGTCGTGCGAGTAACTTTTGAGGTTTATCACAAATTTCAAACTGTTTTTGTTTTATATGTATGAGTTGTTTTGAAACTTTTTTTGAAAGTATGGAATTATACTCACTTCGCTATTTTTTTGAGAGTAGATTCACAATTGGTTGATCTATATTCCATATTTAATTTTGTTACTTGTGTTTCAATTTTAATCAATTTTGCCTTATTTTGTTTATTTTTAGTTGCTTGATATGACATGATGTCTCCTCTTATTACTGCTTTCATTGTTTCCCAGAGGATCGAATCTGATACATCTTCTTTGTCATTATTTTCCAGGAATGAAATGAATTTATCAGATAGATATTCACAAAATTTGACATCTTTTAATAACATATTATCAAATTTCTAAATACTACTTCCTTTAGATTGATTTATTTTTAAATTGAGAGAGACTGGGGCATGATCAGATATGAGTCTAGTGTGATATTTTGTTGAAGTAACATATTGTAACAATCTTGAATCTATTATGAAAAAATCTATTCTTGAATAAGTTTTGTGAACTGAAGAGTAGAATGAAAAATCTTGATCTGTGGGATGAATAGCTCTCCAGCTGTCTACCAAATTTAACTTTTGCATATAATTATTTAATAAAAGCGATGATTTACTTGTTGTATTTCGTCGGGGTTGCGTATCTAACCTTGCATTTAACATACAATTATAGTCACCTGCCATAATAACTTGTGTATTCAAAAAATCTGGTATTCTTTTAAAGATTTTCTCAAAAAATGAAGGATCATCAAAGTTTGGCCCATAGATATTGACTAAAGTAATGGATAACTAATTTATTTCCCCTATTATTATCAAATATCTGCCATTTATATCTTTAATTGTTTGTTTATGAATAAAGGGAACAGATTTTTTGATAATAATCGCTACTTCTCTGGCTTTGGTAGAAAAATTTGATTGGTAAACTTGAGACATCCATGGAGCTTTAATACTAAACCTTGCAGTAGCTTTAATGTGCGTTTCTTGAAGGAATATTATCTCTGCACCTATCTTTTTGAGATGTGCATAGACTTTACCTCTTTTAATTGGACTGTTAATTCTACGTACATTCCAACTTAACATAGTCAATGTCCCGCCACAGTTAGTATTCATATTGTTCACTGTTTAAAATAAATTGTATTATAATTGACCTTTACAAAAACACTTTTTGTTAATTGAACCTTCCAAATGAAAAATATGGCCTTCCCGTGAACACAAACATAGTGAACCTTAAGAATTAGAACAAGAACAAAATCCCGCCACCGCCCACCCTCCCCCATCCCCCAGTTATTGTATCCCATGCAACCACTATGGATACCATCCCCTTTAAAGTTAACAGCATCTGTCAATTCAATTCCTCGATGCCCTTTGGCATTCTTCCATTGAGATAGTCACCGCATATCTCAAAGTATTACAGAAATGATAATTTGCAGTCTTTTTTTCTTTTCTTTTTGGTCAAATATGTTCGTAGTTGAGCTCGTTCATAATGAATTTATTAACCACTTTCAACAGTTCAGTTCCTTTACCAGTTGTCCACTGTTTGACGTAGAAATCATTCGGCCATCTCGGGTAGATCAAAAGCCTTTGTTTCATTACCTTTGACCATCACGATGAACTTTGACGGAAAACGAAATCCACATCTCACCTCATGCTCCCTGCATTTTTTCCGTATGCTGTCAAACTTTTGTCTTTGTTTCATTCCTTCGGCTGCAAGATCAGGAAAGATATGTATTGTTGTGCCATCGTATTGCAGGGGTTTCGATCTTGCCAAACGTAGAATGGTTTCTTTCATTTGGTAATGATGAACTCGAACAATAAATGCCCGAGGTCTCTCACCTCGCAATGGTTGTGGCGATCGGTGTGCCCTGTCAATTTGCAGTGGCTTTTCAAGGTTCTCTTCACTCAATATCTGCTCCAAAATTTTGGTCACGAACTCTGTAGGTTTCCCCTTGTCCACCCCTTCCTTTATTCCGAAAATTCGGATGTTTCGCCGTCGAGATTGTGATTCTAAATCACATGTCTTTTCTCTAAGTTTTCCACACTCAGTTTCCAGGTGCGCGCATCGTTTCTCCAGCAATTCAATGCGGGTTTCGTGAGTTTTAGCCGCTTCCTCTGTTTCAGCCACCCTGGCAGAGATATTGGCAAGCGACACATTCACCTCAGATAATGCAGATGAAAGAACATCAAATTTTCGGTCAAAGGAGCTGCTCAAATTAGCTATTGCTTCCATAATGTCTGTATTTGTGGCGTCTGTAAAATTAGCCTTGTTGCTAGCGTGACTAGCATCCGTCTGCGATTCGGAAGTATTAGCTGTGTTTTCTTCTTCAGTACACGACTTATCAGTTTTCTTTTGCTTTGCTGGCATGTTTATTACTCCCGAGCGAGGTTTTTAGTATTTTTAAAGACTGCAACGTTTTTACCTATATGAAATTGAGATTAGCGGAGAGCTACTGAAAACACGTCTATTCCATTCACTGCCGGAAGCGCGCCATGCCTCCTTTTTGAAATAGAACATTTTCGTACGACTGAACTTGTACGAATTTGTATGAATTAACCACTGAACTGACAAAACGTAAAATACTTATATTTTCTCATGAGATCAGGCTGAACAGAAACTGTACATAAACACACAAAAAGATCAGCTGAGGTCAACTTCCAAATAAGTTAACATTATGAAACATGTAAATGGCATTGATGATATTCATGTTACACCCATGGCACATTTACACACCCAAGTGCATAAATAATATTCATTTTGCTTTGTTAAGTAATTTTACTTTATATAAAAGACACTTACCTCCGCATTCCAATAAAGCAGCTATAAAAAGATTTAAAAGTCGTAAATATGAAAGCTGAACACTCCCCATCATCTACAAATGCTCACTGCAGGGTAACAGACCTCTATGTGAGCACAGGCCACATCACTGCACTTTCACAGAGTTGCCGAAATGTAAAGTGAAAGGAGGAAGTAAGATCTTGTGCTCATTCCTCCCCGTCAGTGAGACTGTGTATTTCAGCTGCTAATTTGCATCTTTAAACTAATGCATCTATTTAGAAAGATGCTATAATACGATATAGAAGTTGAAAGTATTAAGACAGGAAACACACCATCACATGGATGTCTTTAAGCAGCTCACTGCAGACAAACTAAATATAAACAGAAGCCACAAAGGTTTTTCCTTCTATTTATTTTCAGAAGTAGGAAATGGGATTTTTGCGAAATGTCAAGCGACAAGCAGTTTTGCTCACATTTGAAATCATTGAATCAATTAGCTTCATGTTTATATAGGGATAACATGGCCATACAAATCATTTATTACATTAGTTCATCAGAATGTTTTTTTTTTTTTCCTGAAACCAATAAGTATGTTTAAGACTGTTAAAAGTACTGTATGCATTTTCTTTGGACTACTGCCCCAAATCGATGAAGAACACTTTTCTCTTCATCCAACAATTTCTCTACAGACTAAAGAGTTAAATTCCTGATTGATTCACTGCAAAATTAGTACACTTGTGTTATTAGCAATGATTACTAATGCCAGAAAGAAATGTTCCTTGTAGAACTTTAACAAAAAAATAAAAAAATTTAAAATTTGTTTAATTCTTTGTGCTAAAAATTGTAAAATGTCAGTGGTATTATTTTTTAATTATAATAGATTACTTAAATTTAACAATTGTCATTGCATAAAAGCATTTTTTTACATTAATATGATGTGCAATTTAATAGTCATTTTACAAAACATATCCTATATAACACTAGTAAAGTGAACTAATGATTTTTTAGTAAAGACTACTAATCCAAATTTGATTTGTCTTCTATGTCATGAGAGTAAACTCTTCATTCGTTTCACAGATTACTTTTTATTAAAACGGATCGCATGAAGAACGCACTTCCTCTCAACTCTGTCATTCACTTTCCGGGTTAACCCTTTAGGTTTCCCACATCTTCCCTCTAAACATTGGTTTATGTTTAACAGCATACCCAAATTAAAGTGCAACAATAAAAGCAATGATATTGTTTTTTTTTTTTTTTCATTAACTCAAATCTTAATTCCTTTCTATAACCTGAAACAGTCCATTTAGTCTAAGTAACATTTGGGCGTTTTCACCACCCTTCCACTGGAAGTCGTAACTGGTGGTTTAGTGTCCAGTAAAGGTGTTGCTGGGTCAACTGTGTGAGTATTTGAATGTTCAGTCCCAGACAGAGCTGGTTCTTTTTCTTCCTGCAATTCTGCTTGGATTGTAGCATCTGGTTGCGATGGCATTGCTTGCAAATGCTTCCTGTTTCTACGCAGGACAGCTCCTTTTAAAGTTTGCACCAAGTACGATCTTGGTTCTGATGTTTTGTTTAGCACAACCACTGGTGTTTTCCAGTGCTTTTCACTGTCCAGCTTAAGAAGAACCTTCTCACCAGGATGTAACTCGGGTAGTGTGCGAGCAGAGTGTCTCCGGTCATAATAGAACTTGTAAGACTCCTTTGCAGCTTTATCTTTCTTCTCCACTGCTTTAAGATCATTGGGTTGAGGTTGATATTTTTCCTCAAGCATTGGCAGTTTGGTTCTAATCTGCCATCCAGTCATTAATTGTGCAGGGCTAAGTTCAGTTGCAACGACCGGAGTCGCACAGTAACACATCAATGCCAGGTGAGGATCAGGTTGGCAGAGAATCCGTTTTGCAGTTTGAACTGCTCTCTCTGCAGCCCCATTGGCTTGGGGAAAATGAGGACTTGAAGTTGTATGATGGAAATCATAGTCTGTACAAAACTGTCTAAATTCAGCTGAGGCAAACTGTGGGCCATTGTCAGATACAAGCTTCCTGGGAATACCCCATCTCACAAACATGCACTACAGTCTGCTGATAACATTGAAGCTGGATGGTGTTTGCAGGTGAGCTATTTCAATGTCACGTGAGTGGTAGTCTACAACTACTAAGTACGTTTTCCCATTCAACTCACATAAATCTGCAGCAATCTTACACCAGGGACCAGTAGGCAGGGGTGTAGTGATCAGGGGTTCTTTTCTTTGTGTGGGTTTATGAGCCCTACAAAATGTGCACCCTGAAACAATCCTGGTGATGTCATTGCCAAGTCCTGGCCACCAAACTGACATCTTTGCCCTCTGGCGACACTTTGCGAGCCCCTGATGTGTTTCATGAATTCGGCTTAACACTTCCTCCCTCATCGACACAGGAACGACAATTCTGTCCTCATACAAGACTAACCCATTGACAAAAGACAATGAAGCCCTGGCTGTATGATAATGACTCAAGGGGAAGGGTATGTGCTTTGGCCAACCCATGCTGAGAAAACCTATCACTGCCTGGAGATCTGCATCTAACTCTGTAGCCTTCCTAATGGAATCGAGCTTAGATTGTGACACCTCTTTAGATGCAACATATGCCTTCACCTCATCTTCCATCTCTGAGGGGAAGTGCCCACTCAAAGGTTTCCGAGAAAGCGTGTCCGCCACCACCAAACATTTACCTGGAACATGGACTGCCTTTGCATTGAAGCGCATTAGTCGCATTAGCAAACGCTGACATCTTAACGGAGCACGATCAATATCATACGAATTTATTAGTGGAACTAGCGGTTTATGATCTGTCTGCAGGCAAAATTCTTCCAATCCTTGAAGGTAACGAGCAAAACGCTCGCAGGCCCACACTCCCGCCAAGCACTCCTTTTCAATTTGTGAGTACCTGCTTCACCTCTGCTTCAGTCAAAGTTCTTGAGCAGAATGCGACTGCTCTGTCACAGTACCATGAACTTGAAGCAGAGCAGCTCCCAACCCAAAACTGCTCCCATCAGCACTAACCATTGTGGGTTTTTCAGGGTCATAATATGCCAGAGTAGGAGCTGTGGCCAACATGGATTTTACCTTACTCAGAGCCTGCTCCTGGACCTCGGACCAAATCCAGACTGCATCTTTCTTCAGCAGAGCTGTAACTGGTTGCAGCACTGTTGAAAGCCCAGGCACAAATTTGCCTAAATAATTGATCATTCCTAAAATTTGCCTTAGCTCAGTCACATTAGTGGGACTAGGCATCTCAGTAATCGCTGTTACCATGGTTGCGTCCGGCTTGAACCGTTCTGACTGATGGTGTGCCCAAAATACCGTAGCTCAGGTTTGTTGAAGTGACATTTATCATGATTTAATTTCAGACCTGACTCTCTGATAGTTTTCAAAACAGCCCCAAGATTCTCGTCGTGCTCATTTTGATCTTTACCCCAGACTAGTATGTCATCCATGACAACTACCATGCCTTTGTGCCCAATTAGGAGTTTGCTCATTTCCTTTTGGAAAATCTCAGGGGCCGAAGTGACCCCAAACGGCAATCTATTAAAACAAAACCGCCTGATTGAGCCATTGCAGGTCTACACAAATATTAACTGAACTATTCTTTTTCACTACAAGCACCATTGGGGCACACCATTCGGTCGGTTCAGTGACTTCGGAAATGATCCCCAAGGACTGCATACGTTCGAGCTCTTTTTCGACTTTAGGCAATAGAGGAAAGGGAATTCTTCGAGGGGTGGACAGACTATAGGGAGTAACATCTGACTTTAGCTAAATTTTTACTGGTCCACAATTAAGCAACCCAATGTCTCCATAGACATCACTGTGGTCTGTAATTTCATCCACTCTCTGTACTAGATCCATCCTACAGGCAGTGCTACGACTAAGAAAATTGTTGGCAAATGGCCCATCAATTACAAAAACCCAAAATTCTAATTTTTCCCTTTTCTTTTAGTGTTTGCTAGAAATTTCCCCATGCAATTCACTTTTCCCACTGGGCTTCTCACATTTATACTTGTTTTAACCAGCGGGGGGGCGCTCTTGTAAGCTTTCAAACACTGAGCTCGACATGATGCTGATGTCGGCTCCGGTATCAATTTTAAATTGGACCGACCTGCCTTGAATAGGCAGAGTAGCACACCACCTGTCTTCTGCAGCTGACTCATTCATTACAGAGCCCAGGAAAAATGAATCGCCAGTTTCACTATCACACACTACAAGCTCTTTGACATTTTTAGTTTTACATGCAATTGCAAAATGTCCCAGCTTATTGCATCTTCTACACCTCTTGTTTCGTGCAGGGCAATTATTCTCATTGTGTGTGTGATTACAGCGTGTGCAGTCCACAATCGGTTTTCTCTCTACACCTTTTTCCTTTTTCGGTGGCCCCAAAAAACGCTTTGAACTTTTGTAATGTCCGTGCTGTACGGCGCTCACATCAGCGGCTGCTCCACCAATCGCATTTTGCATCTTAATAAGCTCCGACTGCTGGGCGATCTGGACCGCTTTATCCAACGTTAGTTCGGGTTCCATTTGTAACTTCTGAGAATTGTCACGATCTGCAATCCCTATGACAACTCTGTCTCGTATTTGTTCAACTTTGCTCGCGCCAAACTCACAGTATTCAGCCAGTTCATAAAGACACCTGACAAAAGCTTCAACAGTCTCTCCCGATCTCTGTGTGCGCTGATGAAAACAGGCTCTCTCATGAATAACATTCCTCCTGGGCACAAAATGTTCATCAAATTTGCCGACTACAGTCTCGTAATTATTTGCATCTGAAGCTTCGGCAAACGTGAACGATCCGAATATCGTTTCGGCATCCATGCCCATTGCATACAACAGAGAGTTAACTTGTACTTCACTGTCTTCCTTGTTCAGTTTCGTCGCGATGTGGAACCGGGAGAACTGCTGGATCCATGCGGGCCAGGTTGCAGGCTGCGCGAAATCAAAGGCTTCTGATGGGTTGAACTTAGACATTGTCAGTTCCTAAACTGGGCGAGCTTGCTCGTGGGTATAACGTACGATTCTGACACTATGTCATGAGAGTAAACTCTTCATTCGTTTCACAGATTACTTTTTATTAAACAGATTGCATGAACAACGCACTTCCTCTCAACTTTGTCATTAACTTTCCGGGTTAACCC